TTGCGCTATCCTCTGATTTTTATCCCTACTACTCCTTCCGTCCTTCCTAGATCAGCCACTTATTCTAATTTTTCATCTCCTATCTTTATATTCGCTCTTTTCCTACCTTTTCTTCCCTTGCAAACCAGTATTTTTGTTTTACTATTATTTATTTTGATACAATACTGGTTTGTCAAAACCGCTTCCATTTTATTTAAAGCTGTCTCTAACTCCTCCTTGCTAAGCATACTAATCTTTTACTTCTGTATATCTATTCCCACTGTTGTACTGTTTTTAATATGTATATACAATGAAAATAATACAAAGTTCGGAGCATTCATTGTCTCTAAAACTTTACCATTACCTTTAAAAAAAACCGTTTAACCAAATTACATGGGGAAACCTACAGAACATGTGCTTGTTACAGAAAATTCCCCATTTTGTATACACATCCACTAACTCGAGTATTTAATTGCCAATAAATTTTTCAGTTATTTTCTGATCGATTTTACTAATAAAAATTGTGTAAGATAATTTTATTTTCATCTCTAAAAACAACGTTCGTTACCATTTTCAATCACACTAAATGCAGGGTGTATTACTAGATAAAGATCAAAATGAAAGTTCACTGAATGATTAAATAAACCAAAACAAACATCAGCCAGATTAAAATATACACAGGTCGTAATAAAACTGCCCTTGTTCTAACAATTTCTAATTTAAACAATTTTAGTTGCCTGCAGATAAAGTCATACGTATAGGTACCTATAACACTAACGTTGTACAGTGTAATAATAAGTAGACCGTCATTTTCTTTTTGTTATCTTATCAGTTCTTTTTCTCAAACATAAATTGCCCACGCTCTTTGAAGTAGTATTATCGTAGTAGCACGGCGGCAATGTAAATCTTAATAATAGCTTGTGCCAACGAAATTTTCGTCGTTACCACTTTCTAATTTCTCCTCAATGTATGGGCGGTAGCCCATTTAAACTAAAACACGCACAATACCCCACAATACACAGTTTCCAAACATTCACGGCTTTGATTTATTATTTTTAAACACGCCACACACAAATAAATTCACGCACGAGTAGCTTTTTACTGTATGTACTTACAATGTGCTTATTATAAGAAATTTTTAAATTGACTTTTGAATATCACTACCGCAAGCAATTTCAAATAAAAAATATACGGTGGGTTTTATTGAATCATTTTCGAAAGTTGCACACTGATTATAAAAAAAAATCGTAAATCGTGCCTAATGTCGTTCAAAAGTTATTATTAGGTGCATAGTACCAAGGAAGTCAATAGGCAAACTCATTTTCCATAACTTTATAATAATCGAAGCTTTAGTCATCAAACTTTAAAATTTTTATGATTGTAACACGTCATTAGAATGTACGTATGTACCTACATCCAACCAACTCTACACCTAAATATTAGCATTTAAACCCACCCACTTTTTTTGCAATTGTTCAGTTCCAACTACAATTCAAGATTCTGATTAATCTAAAGTAGACCCTTCCTTCCGTGTTTTAAATAAACATTTTAAGGATGTTTGGGAGGTACAATCGGAGACAAGCATGCATAAAATTAGAAATTCGTATCTATACTAAAAAACAGTATACGGTTTGAGAGAAAATTTGGAATTTCACCAAAAACTTTGAATAAAATAAGAAATAACGAATAATATGGAAAATTTTTAACTGACTTACGGTAGTGAATATGCCTTGATTTCAACTTCGAAACAAAAAAATATTTAGTTTTAATCTCTATTAATAATGAGCGTAAAACTTTCTAATATGTTTAAATAATAATTAAAACTTTAAAATTACATTTATTTCAGACAATTATAAATATTATCATTATATTATCAAGTAAAAACGAGATTTTCAGCTAATTTTTCATTTTTTCCTCGATAACCATTTAGTGAAATTGAATAACCTTACGCTAAAGTGATTCTCCAGAGTTCAAGTTAGGTACTTATTATAAAAGTTCGAAATTTCTGGTAGCTTTTTTCTGTTAATAAAAATAAATTCAATCTGTTCGGTTAACGAATCTCCATAAAATGACGTGTAACAATTTTTACAATTACAATTTTTTAAAATTTCAACAACTTTTTAACGGTTTAGTGAATCGATTTATAATTTTTACAGGAGTTTTAGAATTGAATGAGGAACGTTCTTCCAAATTTTTATTTGTCTAGTAGTATATTGACATACCTCCCAAACACCCTAATAGTGTCACTTACTTGCAAAATATTCTACTAACAGCTATCCTAGTTTGTTATACACATTGATTGTAACTTCAAAACAAAAACCCTTATTTTTTCCGTTTTCAATCGCCATTAGCTTTATACAAATTAAATTAGCAATTAGTTTTATGTAATCGAATAAACAAGAAAATATATACGTATGTTCCCGTATTTGTAGAGATACGAAATCCTTGCATCTGTCCGGTATTCGTATACATATCTACAAAAATGCTTTATTCCAATTTCTAAAAGTCAAAATCAAAAATAACCTTTCAGTTACTTATTAGCACCTTTGCGTCTACTCTGCAATTTAAAACCAACTTTTGCTAATTGGTGCTTTGTGGAAATGTAAAAAGTTGCAATGGGTTAGTCATATTGTTGCGTTATACTAAACAGTAGGTAGATTTAAACAAACGATTTTGGTGAGAAAGCGAAAATCGCTATTAATTAGTTTAATGAGGATTGCGATAAAATATCCTGTGTATCCGCCCGAGTTGGTAATTAGGTAAGTATAAACCATGTAACCGTAAACGAAGTCACTGATTAAATCTAACTATACTAATAATAATCTTCTTTAAGTGGTGTACGTCAGAGGTATCAAATACTTACAGCTACCGTCAATCATCCATTTCACAATTACAATACAACATTTAATTAGTACCGATATGATCATTTCTCGATAATTACTGTAGTAAAAATATAAATCAATTAGTAGTGTTATTACTGCGGTTACATACATATACATTTTTCCCTAAAATACAATATTCACAACATATTATTAATTATTACCATATAATAACGTCCTACGTACTTGTGGCTTACAGTTACAGCACAAAGATTCCTATCCTTTACTGGACCAGAAAATAAAAATCCAACGCCCTCTAGTCCATAAACGTTCATTTTTATAAAGTTTTAACATATTATTCCAAACGGGAAGCAAATCGGGGCACGTACAAAAAAACACGAAAAAATTAATTATTACACTAATTTCCTAAACAAGTGGGCACACCACAAGCGCCCTTCTTGACTGCCCCAACGTCCTAGAATAACTGCCGTCCCTTTGGAGGGCCGTAGCACCCACTGACGGGAAGTACATATTAAATTACCTAACTATTAACACGTTTAATAAAAGGATGGAACTCTGCCTTAAGCCCACTTCCGATATCCAGGATATTTAATCGTTTAATCTGAATTTTTGATTAAAAATTACCAATCATTTAGTCTATAAAGCGCGTTCAAATGACAATGTTCGATTGGCCACCCTAGGGTCATGGTAGAAATAAAACATCAGGTTAAACCGAGTTATGATATGGAGGAACTCTGATTCACTGTCATGCATTAGGAATTAAGTGGTATGCACTAGGTATAATTATGATGGGAAAGGTTTTTTTGAGCGGCATATGTACGGTTTAGTTGAGGTATGATGAAAGAGGATTTTCTGATTGACACACGTAGATTATGTTACAGTGGGAAAAGTTTCTTTGGGTGATATACGATGGAGGTTTCTTCTTATATGTGTGAGTGCCATGCATTAGGAATTAAGTGGTATGCACTAGGTATAATTATGATGGGAAAGGTTTTCTTGGGCGGCATATGTACGGTTTAGTTGAGGTATGATGAAAGAGGATTTCCTGATTGACACACGTAGATTAGGTTAGATGGGAAAGGTTTTCTTGTGTACATATAATGGATTATGTTTCCTGCTTGATGTGTGAGTGTCATGCATTAGAAATTAAGTGGTACGCACTAGGTATAATTATGATGGGAAAGGTTTTCTTGAGCAGCATATGTACGATTTAGTTGAGGTATGATGAAAGAGGATTTCCTGATTGACACACGTAGATTAGGTTAGGTGGGAAAGGTTTTCTTGGGCTTTTTCATTGATGTATGAGTTTCAGGAATTATAAGTATGAGTTTTCAGGAATTAAGAGGTATGAACTAGATATGATGGGAAAGGTTTCCTTGGATAGCAAGTGTTAGGTTTAGGTGAGGTGTAATGAAAAAAGATTTCCTGATTGACAGAACTAGATTAGGTTATGGTGGGAATAACATATGTAATGTACTATGAACCAGGCATAAGTGCTATGTCTATGTTTATAACTGTACAGGTGTTGGACGCTAAAGTATTTTTTCGCAAAATTTGTTATCAGCAAATCAAAAATTGACACAGTAATGTAATTTATTCAAAAATATGTTAACTCCACCATCAAAAATGATATATGTATGCTCGACAACTGCATATTTATTTATACCTATTTATAGTAAATGCTCAAAAACTACATACATTTTTATTCCAGCAACCTATGTTTATTTTAATTTTATAGTAAGTATTGTCGTGTACTATTTGAACAAAAACCTAATTTTTATGACTAATTGAATTGAAATAATCGTTGTTTACCAATACTTCATCATACGTTTATTTTATCGCGGTTTATTCATGAATCAGAAATGATATCTCCCCAATTTAAATCATTTTAAATTAAAATTAGAAACAATAGATCAAACATTTGATATACTAATAGAACAGAAGTGTAATTGAGCAAATATTCCGTTCTAAACAAAAATGTAGAATATTCCGTTGCATCTTTTTGAAATTAATGAACAATCAAGTACTCAATCAAAATTTTCAATTTTATCATTACCTAATCAAAGACAAAATTAAACATTTAAGCATTTTTTTTTCAAATCTCCTATATACCTTTTACTAATAAATAAGTATTGCAATTGAAGTGGTACCTAATAATAACTGTAAAAACAATATTGTTACCTTTTCGACGTATTTCTTGTTAAAAAAACGCATCTTGTTGTAAGTTACGTCCTTCCGAAAAACCGAATCCAAAAACTAATCACTTGCAAATGAACGATATTTCAATTGTTTTTAATAATTATTATTACAGGTTCAGCAGTTTTTGACGATTTTCGCAATATTTCCATCTCTATGTGCATAAGTACGTGGACAGACACGTATCCATATACATAATATTTTACCGAAATAAATCTTCATCCGATAATGACAGGAAGATACAATACTATCAATTCACACACTAATAGCTGATGACAAAACGATCGTGCTACCGGCGCGGCGTTATCACTCCGACTATCATAACACGCTACACATAATAACCAAACACACGTTCCGTTACGACCTGTTCGGTAACTAACTAAAAGCCGAAGCAGTCGCAGTACAACAGACATCAGGTATCATGAACGTATGTAAGTAAATGAGTACCGGGGTAGTACATAGTGTATGTATACAATTCATACATAAAAGTACCACATTCGGATACTACCTGCCATAAAATAAAATACACTCGCGGTTTATCAACGTGTACCAGTTCGTTTCATGCTTTCATCACCTTACATTCGCTGCTGTACATGAACGCAACCATTTATGCGTGCCGTCTCACGTGTAAATAATTAATTTATGCTGCATAATAGCAAAACGTCTATGCGTATACGTATGTACATGTGCATTAACAATGCAGACTGGTATGATAACAATGCTATCCAAATCGAAACGTACCAAAAGCAACGAACATTGCTACAACATTAACCGGAATCGAAACGACACAGCGGTGAAATGACTCGAATGGTTGTCGGCTCCGTGGCTCCGGGCCGGAAGAACACGACTGAGAACCGACTGACTGACAGACAGATGAATCGACAAACGATTTGATGTACAGGGTGTTTAATAAAACATGATCCCTACACCATTTAATCGTGAAATACAGTTGTTTCACACTACCGGTTACAGAAAAAAAAAACATGATTTAGAAATTCATGTACTAATAGTTAGAAATGAGCGGGATACTTGGTTTGCATCCGGTACTTTCTTAGAATCCGGCCAGGTTACGGGCAATGGCACCGGAAAAAAAGATTAAACATCAATAATAATAATTTTAAATGTAGATATAACAAAAAAACCTTAATTAAGATTGTCTTGGGACAAGTAGTTTGTGCTAATTTATACTATTTATGGATTACTGTGCAAAATCATTTCTTATTTCGGCAACTTAGAAAGTACTGCTCAATGATTTATAATGCCGCATTGTTGTCGTTAAATAGAGTGAGCGTGATGCTATATAGAGTGTAATATTGTATAGAAAAGAATGTAAACCAACCAGTCAAGCAATTTCGACGTTTTAAGGAGTTTGTCATTAAATCGAGTGACGTTATAAAAAGTTTACACTGTATTTGTTTACAAAATGCCTCAAAATTAGCTAGTTGTTCATGTTTATAAATTTTCCTACCCTTTTAACGAAGGTCGTGCAACGCGGTTTCAGTAAAAAGCAAACAGTTGATTTTGGTCCTAATACATTATTAAATTAAAATTTCTAAATTAAAAACGGCCTTCGCGAAGTTTAACTCAATTAATTTAAATTTGTTGTTAAATACTTGATAACATAAATTACCTTATAAGAAACGTAGTTCAAAATGGGTGAATGTTACTTCAACTACCACCCTTAGAGATGAAATATTATCTTCAAATTTATATTAGACCGATCTTCAGATATATATCAAATAAAAAAATTAAGAAAAACATCGGTTCACAATCGACAAAGAAATAGCGTAACATAGGCAAAAAAATACAGCTGAATTGAGAACTACCTAAAAACCTAATTCAAAATCTTACTCTGTCGAAACCTAAATTACATAGACATTAAGTAGTTAATTAAAAAGATTCTGAAACCAATTAGAGTGTTTCAATTTTCGATAGAAAGCAAGAGTTAAAAATTCAATTTCAGAAACAAAATATACAAACAGCTGAAATAAACACCAATTCAACTTCAAAGTCTTTCTATTATTATTTTCACGCGCCAGTCGTATCAATTTCGATTCTATTTATAAAATCCACAAACAAAAACACCACAGGCATTGCAGTGTAGGCTTTTTCAGTAATTACCTCAAATTTTCAATGATCTCAACATTCAACACCGCGCATTCAACGCAATTCAAACCATGACTTTTCTTTTTATAATCCGTTCTGAAAAGCTCGTCTTCAAATGTTTGTCAGAAAAACACGTAAAAACTACTGTACTAATTTCAATGTTGCTTTCACTTGAATGAAGGTTAAAATCTATGTTAGCATAGTTTAAACTTTTTAATTTTGCGAGTGGATTTAAGAATAACTAAATGATGGAACGTACAATAGTGAAATTACTACAATGACGTTCGGGAATCGAAACTAAACCGATGAAACTTTACAGACACGTAGAAGAAACCAGAGGTTCCTAAAGGCTGATTCTCACTATAGGTCTAGACGGCGGCAGGCAAACGTCCGTGAGCTGACCGTCACTCTTTCGGCAAATTTTGGACGTTTTAGCACGTTTTCGCTGTGATGGTTCAAAATTATTCACTTACTGACATAGCAGTTATTGCTCTTTTACTTGAAAAAGAAGATGAAGAGATAAAGAAGGAAAAATAAAAAAGCAGGTAAATAAAAACAAAAGAGTACCTACACAGAAGTTTATTTAACAGAAAAACGGAAGGGAATTTTTCACGTTATATAAGGAATCTTTAAATGATGAAGTGGGAATTTAGACATTCGAAAAATGTTAAAGGTGCGGCACTGTACGGGTGCGAAACATGGACAGTGGGCGCGGAGAAAAAGAAAAGATGCACACTGTCACCGCTATTTTTTAATCTAGACATCGAAAACGTGATCAACATCATTAAAGACAGTACAACTGTAGGGATACATATATAGAGGCAAAAGATTAGTATGCTTAGATTTGCAGATGATATAGCAGTATTAGCATCTAGCAAGGAGGAATTATAGATAGCTTTAAATAAAATGGAAGCGATATTGACAAAACAGTACTGTATGGAAATAAATAAAAGTAAAACAAAAATACTAGTATGCAAGGGAAGAAAAAGTAGCGAATTTAAAGATAGGAGAAGAAATATTAGAAAAAGTGTCTGATTTTAGGTATCTAGGAAGTCAGATAAGTCAGGACGAAAGGAGTATTAGAGATATAAAGCAGAGGATATCGCAGGGTCGAGTCACTTCCATGCTCGCAAACGGTTAATTTAGAAATTCGAAAAAGATTGTTAAAGGTGTATGTTTGAAGCGCAGCGCTGTACGGGTGCGAAACATGGACGATAGATGCTACGGAAAANTACAATTGCACCAAACGATCACCATATTTGTAAAACAAAAACAATGCGTTCATATCACGTAATGTAATATTAAATACGGGATTAGTAGTAACGCAATTGTATGTATTTACTAAAACGGTACCTATTGTTCTAAATTAATAAATGCAAAAGGAATAAATTTTAAAACAAGTGTTTGTGAGTAACACGACACACCTAAGTTGTTCTAAACAAATGTCTCTTATTAATAATAAATAATATGCATTACGCATTTCAAAATTATACGCAAAATTAATGTTGCGCACTGCACAAATGGCTACACGCACTTGTTTTTGACGACCATGTGGGACACATTGTAAATACACTTATTGTTCAAGTTCAAAACGAACTTTTTATAGATTTCTAAAAATAACTTACAAAACAAATACTCACTTCTAGTAAATATTTTTTCCTAAATAATTATTGTCTAAAATAAAGTATTAACGCCGTATATAGTGTTTTATAAATACCTGGGCAACGTTAGGCTAGTGCTTACCACCATATTTGGCTAACTACTTATAAAAATGCATGCATTTATAGGTGCATAGATATATTACACAAAATTATATCAAGATCGTCAGCCATCAGAGATAATAATCTTCGTCTTGTTTTTTGATGAAATTTAGCATAAATTACAAAAAAAAGTTTCAATTACTATCAAATTAATTTCGATTTTATCTCTTTCATCGCATGCTACAATTTTTCTTCAAAAATGGAAATTATGGACCTTATTTTTGGCCAAGAATTGGGACAAAAATTTTATGAATTTTTCAATTCCAAAAATAAGTTGAAATTCACCACAGTTCTATATTAATATTCAGACCTTGGACACCGAATTTAAAATAATGTTGCAATGAAAACAGCCTTGAATTTAAATTGCCTCTGTAACATTTAAAACTTAATAATTTAATTACACATGACCCTACATTATCAAGCAACACCTGTGCAGGTACACAGCCCCAAAATATACTATTTATTAACTACAAGATGTGTCAGCTTTTTTTCTATACATTCACAATTTAGGAACAATTTATTTAGGTTTATCAGTTTTGGATGAGATATAAAAATTATTATTTTAAACAAAGAAAAGCTGAATATAAGTGAATAATGATTCACCTGTCAACGAAGAAATTACAAATAACAAGCGCCTCACCATAATAAATAGGGTTAGGTTTATCCAACTGGACAACATACGAAAACTTTCAAATATGTATTCGAATATATCTTAAGATTGCAGAATCATTTATAAAATATCAGGAAAAAGGTTCATTTCAATTCGTTTGTATAATAAATAAAGAACTCACCTGGTAGTATGAATCCGCCATCTTGATTGAATTTGAAGTTTACATCCCAAAATTAAAAAAACCGTTTAATTAAACGAAACACAAATTTCGAAATCAAAAATTGTACAAAGGACATAACCGATTCATAGAAAAATTACACGAAACCGCAAAAACTTTAAAGGAACATAAAACTTAACAAAGTTCCGAAGCGTCACTAACTTAACTCACATTGTCACATTCCGAACCGAACTGTGCTACCGGCATTCCACAACTGAACGAGTTGATTTCATTGGTTGATGTGATCTTTTTTAATTTTGAATTTTTTCAGTGTTGCTCGCAAGTTGGATATCTTTTTAACAACTGAAACTAAAGAATTTAAAATTACATATCCTGGAAATACAACAAGCAATTCTTAAATAAAATGGTGAATCCCTTATTCTAGGTCCTAAAAATAAAAAACTATAATGAATATCCATATATAAACAAAATGACATCTGTAAGACAAAAAAATACTCGACTAACAGTTAAATTTATGTGATGATAATAATATCAATATCCATAATACTTTTTATATGTTTAGAATTTTTTCAAAAAAATATAAAAATTGGTTTTGCCTTATACAACCCAACATACACCATTAAAAAAATTAATCTTAAAAATACCTAAAATAGATTAACTAACTATTGACTAACTTAATAAAAAAAGCGATTTTTTTTATAAAAAATAGTTTAGTATTAGTGTCTATATAAGGTAATCGTGTAGTTTTTAATTATTTATCTATTTGTTATTTTAATATATTGTGTTGCTGGATTTTAATATTTCACATGAATATGTACCGATTGCATGCACCAATTATTTACAAACATCTTACAAATAACTAAAAAGAACCTAGTAAGTAGTGTTCACTACAATTAAATTCTGTACAACTATTATTTACACATATTTTTGCCTTGATAAAACCACCCAGCAAGAGTGTCGGTTCTATAACCAATACAGACATTATCTTCTGTTTAATTACAATATTTTTGGAAAAATATTTTTATGGTACAAAAACAATAAATCTCAGGGGAAAGACTTTTTTTTTATTAAAACAGTATCTAATAGATACATAACATAAATGTAAACTGATGTCGTAATTTTTCTAAAGAAAATTATGAGAAAAAATACGGTACTTGAATGATGAATCGACAGCCTTGCACAAACCGTAGAATTTACAAAATGAACACGGTTTTCGTTAAAGCGACAGTTTATAACATGGTTATTTCCAAAAGGCAGCCAAGTGAAATCGTGTTTCAGTTACGTAAAAAAATGTTTACAATTGCACCAAACGATCACCATATTTGTAAAACAAAAACAATGCGTTCATATCACGTAATGTAATATTAAATACGGGATTAGTAGTAACGCAATTGTATGTATTTACTAAAACGGTACCTATTGTTCTAAATTAATAAATGCAAAAGGAATAAATTTTAAAACAAGTGTTTGTGAGTAACACGACACACCTAAGTTGTTCTAAACAAATGTCTCTTATTAATAATAAATAATATGCATTACGCATTTCAAAATTATACGCAAAATTAATGTTGCGCACTGCACAAATGGCTACACGCACTTGTTTTTGACGACCATGTGGGACACATTGTAAATACACTTATTGTTCAAGTTCAAAACGAACTTTTTATAGATTTCTAAAAATAACTTACAAAACAAATACTCACTTCTAGTAAATATTTTTTCCTAAATAATTATTGTCTAAAATAAAGTATTAACGCCGTATATAGTGTTTTATAAATACCTGGGCAACGTTAGGCTAGTGCTTACCACCATATTTGGCTAACTACTTATAAAAATGCATGCATTTATAGGTGCATAGATATATTACACAAAATTATATCAAGATCGTCAGCCATCAGAGATAATAATCTTCGTCTTGTTTTTTGATGAAATTTAGCATAAATTACAAAAAAAAGTTTCAATTACTATCAAATTAATTTCGATTTTATCTCTTTCATCGCATGCTACAATTTTTCTTCAAAAATGGAAATTATGGACCTTATTTTTGGCCAAGAATTGGGNTAAATGAACAATGAATTAGACAAAAAGAAACAAAAATCCTATAGGATGACTAAGATAATTTTTCTTTCTCTTTTTTTACAAAGACCTAAAAAATCCGACATTTGAACAAAATGCCACTTGTGGGACTGAAATATATACCAAATTTTTCTATATACACATTATATGGGTAGTTATGTACATAAAGAGATACATAATACGAATATATTGTCGACAATGAAAAACGAAGTCGAGGTGCCTAGATCGATACAGCAGGAAAATAGGCCGGGCCAAGCACACCCGTTACTAGGCAACCAGTTTCACGACGATGACACACTGACACCCTGAATTACATTAGAATGCTCTTTAGCTAGTACTATGGAGGGAGGTTATTATTTTTTTTTACCCTGTAATCGAAACGTTATCGGTTTGAAGGTAAAAGTCAAGTTTAATGAACGAAAAAAGGGAATGAGACAATAAGGTCTCATTTTTTGTCCAAATGTCCAAACCTTAAAAGTTTTTTACGAAAAACAATATAATTTTACAGTAAGCACCCAGTTTTTAAATATCCATTACGTAATAAGTACACACTTATTGTTACCTTAAAAAAGTAAATGAAATGTGTATATGTATGCATGTACACAAATGCGTATGGTATAAGTATAAGATACATTTAATAAGATAAAGATATATGTTTTAAAAGCTGGATAAACCGTACCGGGCAACTTTCACCAATGAGACATTCCTAATTACATATATATTACAGGTACCTAATATTTATAAATACAATAGGTAGTTTTGATTAAAGAAAGTTGTAAAAAACTATCTACAAGCTTAAAAAAGGCAAAGCTATAATCATACAAAGAAAGGAGTTATCTTTAATTTTTTTATTAACTGTCTTTACCAAAGGTCTATACTTGACAATTACGTTTTTCAGATTCAGAGTGGAGGTGCGTGTCCAACCAGTCTTAGGACTGACGACCTTATGATGATGATGAGGTGGTAATTTAGAAATTAAAGGAAAGAAATACATTTAAAACAAATATCTTGTGCCTGAAGGATTAAAATTAAAAGTCCTAAAACATGGTCATGAAAATGCTCGTAAGCGCCCTCAAATAACCAAGGTACCCTTCAAATGGGATTATTATTATTTTTTCCTTAATTTATACGTATCTCTTCTTTTTTTTTATTCATTTTTACCGTCTCAAAATTTTTACTACTACCGGGAAGATGAATTTACCAGTCGAATAACCACGCCCATAAAAAAATTCCAAGACTACGGCAGGTATGCAGTCTTAGGAAAGATCTAGATCGATGGGGTACATACCCTGTTACGTCAAAAGAAAATCATAACTACGCTTTTTGCTCTCACCTTCTAACATCTACTTTTATACTAAAAAATTGCCTCTAGCAGGTAAAAGAAATTATTTTGGAATGATTTGTATAATTTTACCCTCGTTTTACCTTATTACTCAACGCACCCAAAAAGAAAAAATGCTGACAAGTAAAAGAATTGTGTAATTTCTTTGTTAGGTGAACGTTTTGCTGTACCTGTATATTTATCATTCTTGTAAACCTGTCGTTGTCTGTTTGAAATAATGTGGCCTTGACGAAAAAGTTAGTTTTATCCATTAGCCGCGAAAGCAACCGAACATTAATAATAATTTCGGGCCGACCCACTCTTCCACCCTTCAACATTACGTAACTCAAATATCGCAAAAGTGATCAGTGGCGGCGGACATAAATGTTTTCGAGGACAAAAAATAATCATTTCAGTCTTATGAATTTATCGGAAAATCACAGTAACATATTGTANATTCTACTATTCCTTTCTTTAATAATTATGTGAATAACAATTAGGACTAAAGTAGCAAAATTTAATTGTAAATTTTGTTTTCCGCCAATCGCTCAAATTTTTTTAATAAAGAAAAGCGAAAAAAAATTTCAAAGTTTTGACCATTCAATAATATCATAAATCTTATTTATTCCATGCAAAGGAAACTACCGAAACTTGCCTGTAAAGAGAAAGTTAGCAAAAAAAACAAGAATGGCATATGTTTAAAGCACCATATAGTTTAAAGCACTTGAATTAAAAGCATTATAATCATAGTTCAGTACAAGCATAGGGATTTCGGTAGACTCCTTTCTACTTTAATTAAGGGCAGAACAAATAATAAATGCAATACAAAATAATGTATTTTACGTTTATTTTAATAACACAACAGCTTTCTCTTAAACCAATTAAAATATATTAAAGACTTGGTTTTTTTGTTTCACAATATACATTGGATAATACGCTCTTTCATATGTTTCATTTGTTACACCATATCCAGTCTTTAAGTGTTCGGTTACACATATGTCACAGTATTTCTAATATATTTTGTGAATCATTTGTTTATCTATTCAACTATTTATTATTATATTTCACTGAGTGTCCAGCGAACCTTAAATTACTAATATTTACCTTTAGAATTTAATCCATCATGACATTAGCATCTTTGAAAGATCTTCTGGAGTTCTATTAAGAATACTATTTGGATTTTCGTACATATTTACAGGGTTGTGAACCCCTTCGTAAAGCTGCTTGTAAATAGCCAATAAAACTTCAAACGCCCTTTTCTGAATCACCTTTTTATGGGTTGAAGATGCTAATAGATTGATCTGAGGCAGTAAGACGGTATCAGGGGCAGATATTACCGAATCTAATTTACCCTAAAAAGAAGCATATGCATTAGATATTACTTTTTAAAAGAAAACGTAATTAATGCGTTCGTGGTGCATTAATTGTGAAAAAATTTAATACTAAATGGTAATGTGGGTACAAAAACACAATTTGGGAATATTTTACAAACATTATTAAATTTTAACAAAATCGTTTCGGATATTACTCCATTTTCAGAAGATCCACATTGCTAAAAAGGCTTCCTGTATTTCTTATTCAACAAATCAAAAATATCAACCAAAAGTATATATATAATCAGCAGTATAAGACAAAAAGTCAATTAAAAAAAGAAAAAGTATAACCATATTCTTTTTAATTTAGTATATACTAGCGACCCGCCCCAACTTCGCACGGGTGCAATGCTGATACTAAATATGTATATTTTTGTTTTGTTTAGATTATTATCGAGAAGGGGAAATCTTCAAAAGATACCCCCTGAACATACTAAATATACTACAGAATGTCTTTATATACAACATTCACAGTTTTTTTGTCATTAGACAATACAAATCGGCCTCCATGCTGTAAAGGGCCATATTGTTCTATATTAAATGCACAATGTACTTAAGGTACTTAATTGGATAAGAATTAATGCTGTATTGCTTACAATCGCTT